TTATTATTATTATTATTATTATTATTATATAAATATTCTTCATGGTAGTATTTGTTTACAGAATTTATTTATTAATTATTTAAAAAACAGTCTGGTTACAATAAATATACTAATAATAATGACAACTATTATTATTATTATTGCATCCGGTAATTGAAAAATTTAATTGTCATGAAAATGTTATTAATTTTTGTAAAAAAAACAAATGTATGCAAAATATTTCAAATATCAAAATGTCTGTTTTTGGGGTAAAATATGACACTGATTTTTGTGTGTGTGTGTTATTCACCCTTTTATGTAGCATGAATATTAATTTATTTGAAGTAATTTACCAATATTTTCTTTGATCTTGAAGTAAATGAGCCCGATCCCTTTGGAGATTTAACAGAATCAGAGGAATATAATGAGGTGAGATTTTTATAATCTACCTCCAGAAACAAAATCATAAATTACTGAATCATAAGCATCATGATTTTTCATGAGCGTCTTGAGTAAAACATGACGTGTTTGGTTTTCAGGAAACATCTCCACCTGCTTCCAAATCTCCGCCCGGCCGAAACCTCATCCGTGATTCCGGGAGTTCCATCTCCATCACCACGGCGACGGACCAACCAGGCTTCCTGTTCCCCGTGGTCAGAACGACCCCCATTACGGTCCGCCGGAAAATGACAGAGGAGTCTTCACTATCATGGTCACCTGACCAAAACAAGAGCAGAAACGAGACCAGACGGCCACTGAACAGACTCCTTCCAGAGGACGGCGGCCAGCTTCCTCACAGCAGCATGCTGGTCACAGACGTCTACCACGAGGACAGCACCACAAAAACCACACCAGCTCAGGATCAGGACCAAGAAACCTCAACTTCAAGCAGCACCACTAAACCTGTATTAAACGCAACCGCAGCAGCTAATGCTAGCACTGGATTGGCCATTACAGCGTCTATGAAGATCATTTCTCAGACCACTCAGCCCCTGTTTAATGGTAAGACCGGCTTTTTTGGGGTGTTTGCTCAATCAAAACCTGGCTAAATGCTAACTTGCTTGCAGGGAAATGATAGGCACACTGGAAATGACTAGCAGTAGTACTTGGGTAGTTTAGTGATTAGAGCGTTTCCCAACTTTATTCGTCTGAAGAACTGCTTCATTAACATCATCCTTGTGAAAAAGAAGTACACTTTAGAATACTGAAGTGTTTGAGTGCTTATTACAGAAATAATCTATACATAAGTGTGAACTGAATGTATTGCATGTTAATTGCAGTAAATTTTTTTAATAGTTTAATTTAATTTAAATGCTATTAGAGTGCCTTTTTGACACATTTAAGTAGGACTTAAATACATCTTTATATGTAATTTCATAATTACTTCATAATCCATACGTGTACTGCCGAATATGACAAGCATTTATGTTAAACTAAATATGTTTATAAATATGTTTTAAAATGTTTAATGTCCAATGAAATAATATGCATGTCTTTTATTAAAATATATTTTGCACATTTGTAATGATGAAATTGCAATTTAGTACATTGAAAATATTTTAACTTTAAACAAAACTAAATAGCACACTACAGTTCAAATTATAATCAAATACTTTACATGTGCTTTAGTATCTTAGTTAATGCATCAAAATAAGTGTACTAGTTTAAAGCATGACAAAAGGCTATTAAAATATAATGATTTAAAATATACTTAAAAGTAAAACTTTTTAAAAGTGTACTTAAGTGTGTTAAGAAACAGTCATGAAAGTGTACTTAATTTAAATGCACTTAAATTGCCTTTTATTTAACTAAAATTATATAATGTACAAGTACAAGTTCTTTATAAGATTTGAAGTACACTACAACAGGTGCAATTAAGTGCACTTCTTTTTCACAAAGGAAAAACCAGAAACGCATTAATTTTGATATCATTTAGCATGACCAGTATTACAATAATTCACCTTTAAGCTACAAACCATTGATACTGAGGGTATAGAAATAAAAAAATAATAAAAAGTCACTTTTTTTTTATGGTGGAATTTAACTACTAAAGGAGCTCAACAAGTATGTATGTAGAATTATCACCTGCAAGCAAATGCTATCTCATATGGGTTACAAAAAAGTACAGGCTTAAACTGTCTTTCCGAATCTGCAACTCCTGGTTGGGAATCACTGTTTTAAAGGGACAGTTCACCCAAAAACGAAACTTCTGTCATCATTTACTCACCCTCAAGTTAATCCAAACCTGTATGAGTTTCTTTCTTTTGCCGAACACAAACGATCATTTGAAAAATGTTGGCAACCAAACAGTTGACGGTAGCCATTGACTTCCATAGTATGGAGAAAAATACTATGGAAGTCAATGGCTACCGTCAAACATTTGGTTACCCACATTCTTGAAAATATCTTATTTTGTGTTCAGCATAAGAAAGAAACTCACACAGGTTATACAGGTCATGCATGATCTATCCCTTTAAACTTTCAGAAACGCTCAAGGTGATGGTGGTGCAATTGTAACTGTATTTATGGAATAAAAACTTAATTGCCGTCTTGTGCCACAAATCCTCAAGATTTTAATGCACCTGCTGGACTCTCTCTTCTCGGCTGGTTTGCTCACTCTTCAGATGTCGAAAGCGGTGGTGGTTCTTCTCTTGCTCCTGTGCGTCTTTATCTTGCGCATGGTGATGGCGCCTCCTTGGTGGTGGCTTTAGGTATTGCAAGATAAATGTAGACTAATTTGGCTGGTTTTGATACTTCCAAACGCTTCTTTTCTCCGCCATAAACGGCTCTTTAACAGAGATTTGAAGTCTTAACTCTCCAGACGTGTTTGTTACAGCCACATCGTTCAATAATCAAAGGGTAGCGATGGTTCACGAAGCCTCAGATCTCTATGAATCCTCAGCCACTCTTTTGGAGGAGGGCTCTGCTCAGCTTCCTTCTTCAGGAGAGTTTAGCGGATCGGGGTCCGCGATCTTCCTGGAGGAGCTCGACCGGGAATGGGAGCTCGACCAAACCCGGTCGGCTCTCAAAGACTCCCGTCTGAGCTTCAGCAGTAGATCTGAAGATGAAAACCGAGAGGGACTGTCCTCTACTTTCTACTTTGAGAGCGAGCGAGAGGCGGCCACCACCGGAGAGCCAGAGAACCGGGTGTTTCTGTCATGGGTGACCTGGTCAGCTGAGTCTGACTCTGGCTCTGGTCAAGGAGGGTCAGTGAGCTCTCAGAGCGATGATATTCCCATACAGCTCGTAATTCCTCAACTCACTATCCGAGAGTCAGAGGAAGACCAGAACGCAGGTAAAACTCGCACGTGACGTCAAAACAACATTTGGAGAGTGAAAAACATGACGACTTGTGTAATTCTTGATCATTTCACTGGGGTTTGATTCACAAAAATGGTAATAACACTGCAAAAAAGTATTTTCTTATAATTTTGCTTCTCAAATAAATTAATTTTGATTTAAGAATGTTTAGAGATGTCAAAATTACTAAGTCTTGTTTTAAGGTTGTAAGTTGTTATATATATATATATATATCTTATTAAAAAATAAAGTGAGATTAAATCAGGGTTGTTATTATTAACCAAAACTAACTTTAACTTAAATAACTAAAATATTAACTGAAATAAAATCATTTAAAATATTTTGTTTTATTTCAGCTATAGTTGTGAAGGCAACATTTCTCATTTTCACTTAGTTTAACTACTAAATGTTAAAATGTTGAAATGTTATGTAGTAAAATATTAATCAATAATTAAAATTAAATAAAAATTAATAATCTATATATAGGCATATTAAAAAACAAATAAAAATGACAAAAAAGGAAAATAAAAACTAGTTTAAAACATAAAAAAATAATAGTATCTCATTGGTACTAAAATAACACTTAAAACAATAATAATAATAATAATGGGTGTAATATATATATATATATATATATATATATACCAACTTAATTCATAGGAAGACTAATTTTATTTCTCTTAGCCCATTGGCAGATATTTGTCATTGTTTTGTTATTTGTTATTCAAGTATCAACTTAGTTTTGATGGGTTTTTTTTCCAGAAAACAATACTTTATATCTTATGTCATTTTGCTTCTCAAGTAAATATGTTTTGATTGAAGAATATTTAGATATTTTACTGAAAAACAAGACAAAAATACTTGCTTTGAAAATAATTTTTGCAGTGCACAGATTTGCAAAATGATTTAAGATTAGAAAATATTGCAGTCAGTGTGGGTTTTTATTGAGGTGAAGCACATTAAATGCTTTTACGCCTTTTACGCTAGCAGTTGGATTCTTTGTGTTTTTGTAGCTCCTTGAATGTGCCGAATAATGTGTTTATCAATGAGATCATTGATTAATGGATGGGTTAAGGACAGTTTTGCTCCTGTTTCCCTGATCAGAGGCGAGTAACAGCAGTCCGGAGTCTCGTGTCGGGATGGTGGGAGGCACAGAGAAGGAGATGAGGACGGTTGTTCCTCTGGCTGTGGTTTCCACTCTCACTGTCCTGTGTCTGCTGGTGCTGGTGGGGATTCTCATCTACTGGAGGTATAAGATCTTCACACACACACCAGTATGTCAGTGTTTGCTTTCAGATTACATGTGCATGGACATGCTTTCCCGAGTTTTCAGGAGAACATGTCCAGGTCACATTTAACCCAAAATTAAAAGAAAAAAAAATAATGTCAAGAAATGTTTTGGAGCATTTGATGACAATCAGGCACATTCCCCACAATTCTCACTGCTGTGTGTGCTTTTTACTTGTGAGTTGTTGTTTTTTTTTTTGGTCCCTTTATTTGGATTAAATTCTCTCTCGTTTTTTACTCTCATAATGTAAAAAGCATATATTTTAATGTTCCATCTTTATCTTACAGAAGGTGCTCTCAAACTGCACAGTTTTATGTAGAGGACAACATTTCAGGCCGAGCCATATCGGCCCCATCAACACCTCTTCTTCTGCCTACCGGTAACACAAGCTACTCAGATCAAAAATCCATCCATCCGTCCGTCTGTGCCCTTGCCATTTTTGTTTGTTTTAATATCAGTTTTAATTATTTGTTTATTTATTTGTTTGTCTATTTTCATGTCTTGACATTCATTCATTCATTCATTTTATGCCTGGTCATTTATTTATTTTATTTATTTTTTTATATATTATGGCATTACATTCATTTATTTATTTATTGTATTTATTTCATGTCTTATCTATTTATTATTTATGTTTCTAAATCTTTTTTTTTCTATTTGTCAGCAGAGGACAATGAAGCTCTCCCCGTAAAAGAATTCGTAAAACACGTTGCTGATCTTCACACGAATCACACATTCTCCAAAGAATTTGAGGTACTTGTGATTTTTATCACTTCTTTCTCAGTTTTTTGACATTTCTTGACACGTAAACTTAAAGGTGGGGTAAGCGATTTTTAAAAAACTCTTTAGAAAACGGATTCGGGCCGAATAGCAAAACAAACTTGTAGCCAATCAGCAGTAAGGGGCGTGTCTACTCATGATGTGGAGGAGAGAGCGTTCAGTGCACAGGACGGACATTAGCCGAGCCGAGCAACAGAAAGATAGAGATGGCGGATAAAAAACAAAAGAGGAAAACGTCTGCGGAACAAAAGAAGGTTTACGGCAATAAGGCAAGAAGTAGAACCAGAGTAAATATCGGATCAGCTTTCCAGCGCTGGAGAGAACTCAAGGAGCGGAAGGCCTGCGATCGGACGCCGAGGTTGCTTTGTTTCTTCTCGATAGGTGAGTAACACTGTGTCTGCGCCGCAACAGCTGAAGTCTGTCTAGTACACTGGATGCGACAAAGCGACTGTTGAAAATCATTTGAAATTTGTGTCAATACGTCATAAATAGAACGCAGCGGCAGTTTTCTGTCAGGGATTTGTCGTGTCGTGCCACACCGCATCCAGTGTAGACCATAGATATGTATATATATCTATGGTGTAGACAGCATCACTGATTATAATGAGTTCTATAGTATTTTGTTGCGCCGCGCCACTCGCGTCCGGTGTAGACACGGTGTGACATTGGTTTTGCTCACAGAACTAATTGTTGCCTGGGTTGC